GTAAGAACCCGCACTGACGGCCTTGGTTTACACATTAATAAGTGGAAAACCTGCACTATCGGCTTCGGTTTTTCACGAAGAAAGTACTCGGAAACGAGCATTTTTCTTAATCTTTATTTCATTAAACTTCTTTTTTCTACAACAACGAGTACAAGAATATTTATAGCTTAAATCTAATAATTCAAATATTCAAATTATAACCAACTATTCAAATTTTAATTATAACTTACATAATCTATTTAAATACTTAACTAACATAATTAAAATTAACTACTCCCGTTATCATCCACGCGATCCAATTTCCACTCGAAGTCCGGTTCGGGACAAAGAGAGGAATAATTTATAAATGATCTCATGTACATCATTATTTTAACTACTATGATTGCTATGCTTTCTTTAAACGTCATTTAAATAATTTTGAATGGAAATATGAAAAATTTAAATAGTCCAATATAAAATAAAAATTTAATAATTAAATTCTAAAAAATTAATAAAGTAAATGAATGGCGGTGAAACAAAATTAATAATAGATTAAAACATAGGGAAAAAAGAAAGCTACCTCAAATTTAGAGGTATAAACAAGTCGAACAAAGTTTGAGTAGTCGAACTCGAACTTTAACGAGCTAAATTATAGAAAAGTTATACAAAAATCCAGAATTTTCAGTTTTAACGAACCTAGCATGGCTTGATTCATTAATTAAACAAACTCAAGCACGAGACTTCGCAAGTCTAACCGAGCCGAGTTTACGAGTAATTTGTTTCGTTTAATAATTAATAGTTATTACTCAAATTACAGCTAATGTATGAGTTCTTTTTGTTCAATGCTTAAAAACAATATAGTAAATGAGAAATAATTATTTCACGCATAAAACCACTATCACGAGCTTCATGTAGAGGTGGCCAGGTGCCGAGTTCGGGGCCGGGCCGATTGGCGGGCCTCAATTGTTGGGCCCGTAACTGGCCCAGAAATTTCTATGGGCCGGTTCATTTGAACCGGCCTGGCCCGGTGGTTCGTTAAACCGCCGGGTTAAAAGAAAATAAAAAAATAAAAAATAAATAAAACAACCACGACTCGTCGGAAAAATCGGAACCGGCCCAGCCCGGCGGGTCAAATATGAGATAAGAGACAGCCCTTAACCGACCCTTAAGAATTTCCGGGCTGGTTCATAACTGCGTCTATACGGGCCAGTTCCGATGCCGGGTAGGGTCGGTTTGTGGGTCGGGTCACGTGCCGGGCCGGCCCGTGGCCATGTCTGGCTTAATGTAGATGGTCTAAAAGAAATGGATTTTTTAGCTGCCACTTGGCTGATACAGATGTCATAGGATTAGACAAACTGCGGCAAATTACTGACGACATAATAAAGTCACAAACAAATGATCACAAGAAGACAAGCATAAATCTGTCCACTGTCTGAATCTGCTTACGTCTGTCCATAAATATATGTTAGACAAAGGCTACTTTTGGAGGGACCATTAGACATCCAATGCAATCAGCCAAACCAAACAGTGGACTGTGATAATGACCAACAAAAATTATGTGAGCCATCGAATAATTTTCTTATGAAGCCATCAATCACCTGATGTATTGACAAATGTTCCAAGTATATTTATTATAGGACACGTGTCAATACACTATTTGTAAATAACTATGGATGACTCCATAAGTCAGCCATCCGATGGCTCCATAGACCATAGCAAAACTGTAAAGACCAAATTAATTTGAGGCTTCTTTTACGTTTTCACATTGGCAAGTCAAAAAGTTCTAAAGATGAAAGCCACTGGACTTCAACTACGAAAAGGACATATATGTGAGGGCTCACGTAATCATGGTTGTTTGGAATACCATCTCATCACTTTTATCAATTGTGAACTAAAATCTAATGATACATAGAGTGGGGGACAAATTCGTAAACGATTTAAGTGGCTCGCGAGGACTCGAGTCAAGCTCTGCTCAAGCTCGAGTTTGATTGAGCACACATCGAGCTCGAGCAATTTGACCTTAAATTCAAATTCAGGCATGTATTTCATAAGCTCAAGTGTTCTAAGTACCTTTGGAATTGATCTAAATTCAAGCCAAGCTCAAGTTTAACTAGAGCCAATTCAAGGAAAATTCTTATTCGAATATAATTTTTTATTTACAACTTCAGCCGGACTCGTGCAAAATTCGAATAAAATATGAGCATTCGATTTTTTTTTTCGAGCAGAACTTAAGTTTAAAAAAGTCAAACTCATCGAGCTCAAGCAACAATGAGAAAATGCTCGATTCGACACTGTGAAAGACGAGTTGGCTTGGCCAAGTTATACTCATGATAACCTCACTTCTAGAACCCCTTTAAATCTTCACCCAACAATGGAAAATTGCGTGATAATTAAACCAAACTAGTGTTCGACCATATGCATTTGCACATATGTAAATGAAGTATCTATATATATATATATAATTATTAGCTAATGCATTTAATAAAATATTTAATAAAATTTATTTTCATTTCCCTCCAAAAGGAGTTACTTTTTTTTCATTAATTACTCATTAATGTGCTAAAACCGTTACACCTTAATATATATATATATATATATATATATATATATATATATTTTATTATTTATTTTTTGGATCAGTTACTAAATTAATTCTAATTTTAGTAACAAAATATTCAAATGTGTAACGGGTGATGTTGGAATTTAAAATTGATTAGCACATTCAGAGTTGTAACCGCTATATAGTTGCATTGTTGGAAGAAAAATATGTGAAAATATGATTGACATATATTTTTTTTTTTCTAAAAATCAGAAACACCAATAATTTTTTTTATGTTAATTTTCTTAATATATGCCACAAATATATAAATTATTTTATTCATGTTACTAATGTAAACTTTTTATAGATAAAATAAAATTTAAATCTCAATTAATTTTGAATGATAAAAATGACTTAAGGAAAAATAATAATTTTTATATGATTAAAGTACATGTCTAATTAGTAAATACAAACAAAAACGTGTTTATATCTGTACAAATGCACATGATCAAATACTAGTTGTGAGTTATACAATATAATGATTAAAAATTTTCCTTTCATTTTTTGCAGGTCAAATTTACAATTAAAGGAGCTAGA